CAAGATCAGGAATAAATCGATCAGAAAATGAGGCATAGCTTTAAACCTAAAATGATTGCTCATAAATATCCTTTACAAAATGAAATGCGAGACACATAAAAAAACTTGAGAAGGGATACACATAAAAAAACTTGAGAAGGGATACACATACACAAATAAAGTACATTCATAGGCCTTAAATCATGATGAAAAAGTAATTTTATTTAATTACAGAGTCAAAATTGAATTATGAAAGACGGGTTGATCATATTTGGTATTCTTTATTTTTTGCGATTTTATAAATTAATATTTTGTTATCTAATATAAGTAAAGTGTGCAAATTAAAGTTTAAATAACCTTATCGACTTCTAATAAGACTTAAAAGAGAACCCATTTTTTAATGAAGTTTATTAAAAAAAAAATTTTTTTTTAGTATAAAAGTCCTTTAAATGCATCAAGGTTATACAAAGTTGGATATATTTTAAAAAACTTATAAACGGAATTAAGAAAATGGATGAGAGTGATATTTCCGGCATCGCTTCATTCTAGTTATTAATTCGAACTGTCAAAATATTACGAACCGTGTTAGATTAATTCAAAGATCAGTGAAAATATGAGTTCATGAATAAATGATATGGAAGAAAGGAGAATCCAGCTTTTTTGAGTTATCTTCATTCAAAAAGGTAGAAATATGTAAAAAAAAAAAAAAAAAAGTGTTATTTAAGTAAAAATATGATGAACAATTAGTATAGTTTAAGAAACAACATATTGTTTGCTTTGCTTAATTATAATATACTAGTAGAATATTTATGCGGATTTGTTATTTTTTATATAAATATTTATTTAGTTAATATCAAAAGGCAAATTGTTACAATTTAAGAATGAACACTTTACGTCCGCATCTAAAATAGGAAATCCAAATAAAAACTTAAATCAAGATCTAATTTCTTGTTCATCAGTCATCCAAGTTTGAATATAGGTAATTTATGTTATTTTGATATTTTACCGGATTCAGCGATTCATTCCGGTCTTTTGTGCTTATTAGTTTTTAAATATGAATCAAGACTATATTTTTTACATTAATCAATGAAACATTGCAAAAAAGCTCAATAAACTTTTTATACGCCTTCATAAAATCATTTTCGTACTGAACTCTAGCAAGCATATTACTCAAAGTAATGTTATATGAATACATTGCTTTATTATGTTGTGCCTCAGATGACGTCCGACCTGAGATAATTTAGGCCGATCATTTAACGCTGGTCATCTGGTAGTCATATGTCGTGCGTTAGCTGCAGATTCGGTATATGTACGTATGTACCAACACCAATTAATATATAAGTAGCTGCGCGACGTTGTACGCAAAACCAGGAACGGAAGGTGGATTTTCAGATCGAGTTTCAGATGAAACTGCTTTCGTCATAAGTTTTTTGTTTGCTTAACTTTTATAAGTTTTATTTGCAAGTTTAGATAGATTATATGCGCAGTAGTTCGAATACTAACTATGTTATTTAGGTGGACTTTATATGCAGTTCAGATAGATTAGTATTAGTATGGTATAGGTGTAGCATTTTTGCATGTATAGAGTTTTTTTAAAATAAATTATTTACTTTTGTTGTTATTTTATTTCATGTAACTGATAAATATAAGAATCATTTGTCAATGGGTGTATTTAAAATAAATTATTTATACTATATTAATCCCATCATTTAATTTGTTAAGTACCCGGGTATTTTACATTCACAAGTGCAATTAATCCGTCCTTAGTATCTGAGGCACTTTATATTCTAGGCCTCCGAAAATCGTGAGGAGTATTATAAAAGGGGCCTTTTGGTCTATGCTGTACAGTGATTTGCGATTAAATGTAAGTGTAAAAAGCAGAGAATCAAGCATTCGATAACAGTAAGTAGGTTAGTAAAGTGATAAATGGTTCAATTCTTAAGTGTACATGTGAAAAATACATACCTTTGAAATATTGAACTTAGAATGATCGCAAACATCTAATTCGCAATTTTTTTTTTTATCATGTGTCAATAGACAAAAAGCTTTACAGACACAGCAACACGTGATCTAATCTCTTAATTCTGCCATATTCTAATACTAACCTTAACGATAATGCTGGCCATGCTGTGTCGTTAGGGTTAGTGCTGGTCATTAGCTGTGTCGATATGGCTGTGTCTGTAGCTTTTCCCAAGTAAAAATCTAGAAATAACAAGACAAAGTCACAAGATTAGAACAACCAATCGGATAAAAAAGAGACCAGAAGCTCATTAAAGCAGGTGATCGGTATGGCGCAGTAACGAATAAACGGCTATGTCGATCACCTACCTACCGGCAGTATACGCTGTATTTGCTGTATACCATGTATCCTATGCATCTGGTGAATAATGGATATCGGTGGGATTAAGGGTATAATTAAAATAATCAGTATAAACATTATCATCAGGATAATTAGCATAAACGTTATAAGTAGTATAAGCGGTATATCACGAATAAAGGTATAACGTGTTCTATGTAAATGAAAGTATATAATAAAGGCTTCGAGCCCTCCAAGAACAGTTCAGTTAGTGCTTACCATAAATTCGCTCCTAATAATTTCCTGCTTAATTATATAATAAAAACCATACCTACAATCATAACTATACATTCGCCAAATATAACATTGCCTCCTCGATTAAGCCCGACTTATAGGTTACACGACATACCCATTTGAGAAGTGACTGACTCGCCGTTTCGCCCGTATCACTGTAAACCATACTCTACGTTGTACGTTGTACCAACTCTATTCCAAAAATAGGCAATAAAGCTAGGGGCATAAATTAAACTGGAAAAAATCGAGTTAAAAATCGTACACATAAAAAACCAAAGCCACATTAATAAATAGCAGGTATTCTATTAAAACGATAAGGAGATAAGGAACTTCGACACAATAGAACTAAAATTTTAAGTATTAATATAGTAAATCATCATACGAAAACTAAATTAACAGTGATACAAATAACCCCAAATAAGTAATTCAGAGAGGTGTGATAAAACAGGAAAAAAGCGAGTTATGAAGTAGACATATCACAAAAGCTGCAATAAAAAAATGGTAAGTTTTCACAATAGGAAAAAAATTCATTATACAGTATGCGACGGTCGATAAATTCATTCGATCAAGTATCGAATATTATCTCATTAGCCTGTTAAAAAATCCACCGAAAAAAATGTAAAATATCAAATATTCAGCATTGAGGGGTTAAAAATCATATCGACTCACCAATTTTATGCTTAAAAATTACATATTAACATCGTTCGCTAGCACATATTCGATTTTACAGGCGTACATGCTTATTTGTAAGCCCTTTTTTTCTACGTTTTAAATAAATTCAGATAATAAACACGTAAGGTTGCATTTGTACACAAAAAAAAAACAAATATTAAACATCAAATGATGAATAAGCCACGCGGACCAACTCATTACAAGATTAGCATACAGAGTGGTACATACCTTTTAAAGTAAAGTTTGGGGTGTTACCAAAAGTCACAATGACGGATCACCAAATCATATGTCAAGAATCGCACACTCGCAAGTAAACCATACCCTATGTACTTAGTACACCATTCCTGGTATATACAGTATATTGTTACAAATTCATTCACATTTTATACCTGTGACCACTACTCAATCAAAACACCAGTTTTGCACACTTGCCATTCTAGTTGTTTGAGACCATACACTTTGTAATTCCATTACTCCGTTCCTGCATAATTTCGCATAAATCTAAATTTAGAGCAGGCAGAATTTGGGGTCTATTGCGGCAGAAAGTGACTAGCCCTAATGAAGATATTATTTCTAAAATCGATATAATTGCATAATTGTCAATTTACGCCACCTAGGCTCAATGAAGTAGATCTCTGCACAAGTCATTGAAAAATTGCACGAGTCATTGAAAAATTACACAAGCCATTAACAACTGTTTCATTATTTTTGGGACATCTGGTAGAATAATTGTTTGACCAATTCGATAAGTTTATGTAATCATGCATATATCTTTGCTAAATGACAATAATTATATGAGTGCTGTACAGAGAAAACTTGTATGTATCAGACTTTACAATAAGAGTCATAAGCGATAATTAATGTTGAGTGTCATCAAGGAAAACCCGTCATGGGCTTTCAATTATATTTGTGTAGTCACAATCAGTATAATTTGCTAAATATTGTATCATATACAAAATATAATTGAGAACCCAAGTCATTTAGTCGTCAAATCCATTGTTTCAATATTCTCATAATTCTTGACTTATATTTAATCATTATACATTAAAACTTTTAAATAAAACATTTATTCTGTTTCGACAAATATTAATAAAATCTTGATTATGTGGAATAATAACATGCTTTATACACTTTTTTTAAAAAACCAGTAATCAATTCTTGTTCTCATTGAACTTTTTTTCATTAGCGCCTGCTCGTGTAATGTATTTATTATGAAGCTTATCTTGTATTCGAAACCTTTTGTCAAGATCTGTCGGTTGGCAAAAACGACACACCAAGTATACTGGACATACGACTTAATTTTGGATGCATTGACATAGTATCGTTCAAAATGCAATGCAAAAAATATTGTGTCAAAAAGGGAAAACCTGTAAATCATTTCACTCGATAAGTGAATGATTTGCAGGTTTCCCTTTTCGTCCACACAAATCAAAAGTTTATCAATGCCAAAATCAATCATTCAGTCAATTTTTTACCAGATGTCCCAAAATAATGAAATCAGTTGCAAAAAAGATTGCACTAGAAAATCTGGTTTATATACTTTCGTACATAATTCAATCAGATGCATAAGTATGCATATACATATGGATGCTTTATTAAAGTCGATGATTTGGGTAAGAAATCCCCCAAATATCTAGTGTCTTATGTATGGAAATTCCAAACTTTCTATCAGCTGATTGAAGCGAAATAAGATAAAAATAGTCATCAGCATTAACGCTATGATCTATTTTTCTTGCATTTTGATAATATTATAATAACAATGATGGATTTTATAAATATTATAACTACAAATCTCCCAACTTCAATTGCTTTGTTAATACTTTTATATATCATCATATATTATTATAAATATTTTACTAGAGTGAATCCACTTCCCGGTCCATTTCCCTGGGTGCCTATTCTAGGGAATACTATAGATTTGATTATTTATAAATTAAACATAGCAGAGTATTTAAAAGATATTCAATCAAAATATGGCGATTTTTGTGAAGTTCACTTTGGTTCTAAACGACTTATCATAATTTCAAAAAGTGATGTTGCATATCCAATTCAGACCTCTTCAGTAGCTCTTAGTTATAAATTCTTATATCGTGATTTACCAAATCCTGGAATATATGAAATTGGCATGGAAAATAGCGGAATAATTTTTAATAGAAATTTGGGTGAATGGAAAATTAATCGCGAGTTCTTCATAAAAATAGCAATGTCAAAAAAATTTTTAAAACTGATTACTGAAAAAACTTATGAAAAGACTGTTTATATGTTTAAATTATGGGATATTTTGATAAATGATACGCGAGATGTTGATTTGTCAAAATGGCTGGACAAGTTTACTGGAGATATATCTGTCTCAACATCAACTGGACTACCTGCTCACTCAATGCTTTCTTATTTTAATTCTCTGGGATATGATTATAATCGAGATTATATTCCAACTTCTGAATGGGAACAATCTTCGAAATTGATTTCTCTTATTCATCGCATTTTTAAAGCGGGACAATGTAATAATTTTCATACAGTATATCATATATTGCAAATAAGCCATTATAATTAAAATATTTTAATACTTGTTTTTTTTTAAAAAAAACTCAAGGGTTCATTCTAATCCCACCTTTTATAAGACATGCTCCTGGCATAAGCTACTTTAACAGCAAGTTTTTAAGTTCTATAAAAGACTTGGAAGTCTTTTTACTTGAAGTAATTCAAAAAAAACGTGCGGAAATCGATTTATTACCTAAAGATACTTTACTACCGTCCGACTTTTTAACATTACTTCTTACTGTCAACACGCCACGGGATCAAGAACATGCTTTATATAAGTCATTAAACCGGTCGTTGAATAATCATGAAATTTTTGGTGTTATTAGAGACATTTTCTTGGGTTCTTTCGAAACAGTAACTAACTATCTTATTTTATTGTTTGCAATAGTACAATGAACATAATACTAATACATATTCATTATATTAATATTTAACAAATAATAGGTTACGACTGCAATGTGTTTTGTATTTTATTATATATGCAAATATCCTTCTACAAAATCTAAAGCACTTTCTGAGATCAACGAGAAATTTGGTCATTCAATTTCTTTAAATTCCCTTTACGAAGATATAGATAAACTATCATATTGTGATGCTTTAATTAAAGAAGCACTTCGCTTAAATTCTCCATTTCCATATCTGTCACGATCGAATTCTGAACCTGTAGAAGTTGGTGGATATCTATGGAATGAGGGACAAACATTTATTTTACATTACCAAAAAATAAATATTAACAAAGATGATTGGGTTGATGCTGAAGTTTTTGATCCTGAAAGGTTTTTGAAGAATGAGAATAGTAAGCGATCAATGAATGCTAAAGAAGCTAATAATAAAAGAGCCGCTGCAACATTTGGTGGTGGTGCTAGGGTTTGTCCGGTTTGTATTAGTAAAAGCTATAATTTACATAAATTATTAAATAAATTTTATAAGTTGCTTATTTATATAATCTACATTAACAGGGAAAGCTCTGGGCGCTAATTGAAATAAAAGTACTTTTAGTGGCAGTCTTAATGAGATATGATATGGAATTTGTAAATCAAGATCAAGGATTAGACTTATTTAGTGATTCATCTTATCATTGGCGAGAACTTAGAATTCGTTTAAGACCTAGAATACATGAAGAATAACTTAAATTGGAATCCATTCACCTAATCCTCAAATGATTCAACTCTTAAGTTGAAATTTTTTATAAAATTATTTTCCCTTTGTTCCTGCTATGTATATCATTTGAAGGTTTATGGGCTTGAAACATGATAATTAGCAACAATAACATATCATGTTGATATTTTTCTTAACCTCGTTTAATGTTAGATTAAGAATTAGGGCAATTCATGTTATAGGGAAAATTTCTTTGACATAAAATTTTTTACAAGCATATATATCACAAACATTCTTATTTTGTTATAACCATTTTTCTTATCAGGTCTACCTATAAATTATTCGTCCTTTTGAATCACATATTTTAGATCAAATTAAATGAAATTTCTTTTTATTGTGTTTCGTTAGATATGCACATTCTTCTGGAAATTTAAAATACTTGTATTTAAAATTTGGACGCGAAAGAGATATAAATAAAAATCATTGTAATTATGCAGTTATGTATTTAAGACTAAGTTCTTAATGCTTATCATGAAATTTGTATCTTAATGCAAACAAGAAATCTGTGCCAGGTTTTGTCGATCATCTCCTAGATTGATCGACATCGGCCCGCATTAAGCTAATTTTAAAGTTATTATTAAATTAGGGTTTGATTAAGCTAAAAAAGAATTTGAAATTAAAAATATATGTCAAAATTATGAAAGGAATTATCTTGATAGAGCATGAAATGTAGTTTCGTATAGGGTTGTGTTGCATAAATTACAATTTTACATTACATGTAATTTCACGTAAGTTACAGAAAATCAATTTTCATAAAGTACCAGATTTACAAAATTTCGGCCAGTATTATTGCTTCGATTGATTTGATTGTACGATTCGAAATGTACAACTTAAATCGTCGAAAATTTGATCTCAGAAACTAAATATCATGTGTTCAAAATTACAATTACATGAAATTTCAATTTACAGAATCTTACAGAATCTTACACAAACTTACGTAAAATTACGTAAAATTACTGTAATTTAACTACCCTAGTTTCGTAGGTGACATTTTAAGATAGAAAGTTAATTTTGTCGACCATGATAGACAAAACCTGGCACAGGTTTCACGCTATCTGACGAATCATTATTGTGGTGAGTAAGCATTATGTCACAGATTCAGTACGTGTATTATTGATATAAATAGTAACCAACTGCATCAAAAAATTAATATTAACTCAACACCATTTTGATAGACATCTTAATATAGCTCTCAATTATTGCTTAATATCAACAATAACATGAGATCAACACTTATGAGGTGTTGTCAAGTTGGAGTAAGTGGAATGATTATTATTATTTTTTTTTTTTAAGGTTTTGAAAGTGGCATCTTGCCTGTATGTCTTTATTAGAATAACATATGATTACATATTATATACAAAGTCTATCAACAAGGCTACAATTAGTCACATATACAACTTTAGCATTGTTTATTTAAAGGTTCCGCCTACAGGTTACCTACTAATTGCCATACTTGAAACTTGCCTATGAGTTTCCTATTTAAAGTCTCTGATTTTCAACACTATTGCATATATATGCAAACCTTATATTACCAATTTAGTGACATTTCAGGTTAGAACTACCTGGTTACTATTTATATTAAGGTAATATCCTATTAGTTGTTACCAAGTATTCATAGTTCTCAATTCATCCTCGACACAAACTTTACTAAGTATAATACCAAGATTATCTCTTAGATTTATCTAATTTCAATATTTTCCATATTTATGAAACTGGTTTTAGTGTTAAAAGAGTTCAAAATTTAGTAAGTTCATTCCTTTTCTATAGTTTTCTTTTATGTTCATTGTATTATCTACTAATGAGCCTTCTCTTATTTCTGATATGTTCACTGCTTTATTTGTATTAAATAATAACTCTTCATATTAAGAAACTTCTTTCTGGGAACTTCTTTATATATTGATTTTCTAATCACATGGACTTAACTACAAGGTTTTGTATATATTTATATGTTTCTATAGATTACAAAGTTTTATTTTCAGTTAGAATTGAATCATTGACCTTGTTTGTGGAAGGAGGGTTACCTAAACCACTATGCTATAGGACCCCATTCCTGAAATGATTATTTTATTGCAAAACTGTATATAAATATAACAAATATTTATGTTCAATAAAATTAGATTATAAAGCAACTAATAATTTTATAAAAAATTATTTTATTATCAATGATTACTTAAAAAATTGTTTAAAGGTTTCTTTATTAATTATAGTACAAGATAGTTTTATTAAAATAATAAAAAATTTTTATACATAAGTAATACTAATGCAGCTTAGTTAAATTTTATACAATAAATCTGTTTGATACAATTTTTATAAAATGGTTAATCAAATAAAATCATTACAAGCTTGCTCCTAAAGATGCTAAACTAATTAAAATGAATTGTTTCGATTCTAAACTGGTAGTACATTATATAAACTGAATTTAACTAGTTTTTAATAGTTTGTTACTTGAATTTAAATTAATAATCTTTTTTAATATCTCAAAAACAAAAATAATTATACATTTTATTATATTATATATATATTTTTTTTAGTACCACTTTAATTTTCTTCTATATACTTTATTAAATCTGTTGCAAACCAAATTTTATAACAAAAAGAAGTATGGGTTTTTTTTGGCTTAATATGATTTCTAGTTAGACTAATAATAAATTTGACTATACTAAACATTTGTTTACTTGT